GCCTGGATCGGTGGTCCCCTCAAGCCATGTGGGGCATACGTTACCCACTGATACGCTAGGTCAGACCAGACATCGTCGGAGGGTTGATCGACCTGCTGCCCTGACACGTCGATTAGCGACTTGGCCAGTTTCGGTTCGCGAGTTGGCGTCGCGGCCGTCATTGTTGCGGGTCCAGGTCCGTCGGTTTCGGTCTTGGGCCGTTTTCACTAAAGGATGGTTTAAGAAAGGGAGGTTTGTCCACCGCCGATATAGCCCACCTTGGTATCCGCTGATAACCCTATTGCCCCCTTAGCGAGCCGCGCGCCCATCGCAGAAAAAGAGGTTCAAGAGAGGGGGGGCAAGAAGGGGAGGAGGAGGCGGACGGGAACCCTGAACTCCGAAGTCGCGGTTTTGCTCGCAGCGTCGACCCCCAGAGGTCTAGACCTCTTCCTCGAGACTGGCGTTTCATCCCAGGTCGTTTTCTGGAGGGGGTCCCGGCGAGGGCTCCCCGAGGCCGCAAATGGCTAAAACGACGACGAGAGGACGTGGGAAGGGGATGGAGTGGAGGAGCAGACGAGGGGCGGGGGAAGGAGCGGGAGGGCCGCCTGCCAGGACCGGCCGCGCCCCAGGGAGGCGGCGGCGTCGCGGCGGCCCCTGGCAACTGGGCGCCCGGCGGACCCGCCGCCCTGGGCAGACGTGGGAAGGGGGGGGGGGGCACGATGCGGGGGCGTATCTCGAACGGGAAGGAGCATCAGAGCATAAACTGTCAGAGCTCCGCGCGGATCTCTCAGATCTCCGCTGGAGGCCCATGGCGGTGCGGGAGGGGGGGACCAGCGCAGCAAGAAGTCCGCGCGGACCCCCGAACGTTTTGTGTGTATGCCATTCTTTGCTCCCCGACTTCAGGGGCAACTTTACCAGGGGGGAGAGGCTCAGGGGTGGGATGCATCGACACCCGAAAACGCCCTTTCATCGCCGATAGGGGCCTGACAGCCCGCCCCGCCAAGGAACGTGCGGTTTCGCCTTCGGGGGCCTGTCGCCGATCCATCGGCGATGTACCCTGACCTGAAAATAGGGGGACGAGGGGAGGGGAGCGGCAGGGAGGGGGGGGTCATAGGCTCAGGAGCGTTCGACAGTGTTCGAACAGTTTCCAAAGCCCACTGTGGAATCCATCGGCTGCGCCTCGTCGATGGGCGCTCCTGGGATGCCCCGGCTCGTCCCTGGCGGCCGCTCCAGGCCCGAGCTGTGGCCCGAAAACGAGGGAGTGGCAAGGAAGGGAGGGGTGGCGTGAAGTCGGGCACGTCCCTCTACAGGAGGGAGATTCAAAAATAGTCAAAAAATAGTTTGGGGACCATGTTTCAACTATTCTGGGCTATTGTTGGGCAGGTTTTGACTATCGTCAATTGTTCGTCAAAGGTCCGCCTGTAGGGGGACATGCCCGACCTAAGGGTAGCGCAGTCCACGCCTGCAATCGTGGGCGACACGCGTTTATCTGGAAGGATCTCCCCTTTTGCATGCCGACGCGCTTGCCCTGGAGGCGGTACAGGCAATGCAACGCACAGTAGGCAGGCTGCCGTCGCAGCAAGCACTTGGGTTCTGCGAGGGCGCACAGGGGAAACGGACCAATCCCAACCGAGTAGCAACAATTCCAACCGACTGGCACAGATTACGACTGGCGCTGCAAGCCGAACTTGCACCAACTGCAACCAGGAAGTGAACAACTCAAGGCACATGGATGCGGCAAGTAAGTAAAGATTACATCATCCAGAAAGCCAGCGCCCATCTCATAAGCATTCACCTTAGCTTTAGGGGAAACCTGACTGCACGAGTTGGGTTTGGTGCAGTAACGGGCGGTCCGTAAGATAGACTCGTGAAGCCCGCGTCGGTGATCGACCCCGAGCACTGAGGCGCATGTCTGAGAAACGGACGCCCGCAGCCGCAATGGCCTTCGCGCGCGAAGAGTGAGGCGCCCGCGAGGTCCAAAGGCTACCACCGCACGGCTGCTGCTGCTGGGAAGCGGCACGGCCGCCTGGGGCCCAGGCACAG